TCTTCTTTCTTGTTCCAGTTCTTCTTCTTCTCCCTGTTCATCATCATGTTCTTCTTTTTCTTCGACTGGTGATCTTCAGTGGAGGATCCTTCACGGCGCCGTTGCAACGAACTCTTTTGTCGGTCATCAATCCTGAGGTTTTAAACGAGTGTCCTTTCTGCAGTTTGAGAGTGTTTTTCATGTTTTTACAGACTGTGCACGACTGACGGCTCTGTTTAATCTAATGACGAGGATCTTCAGCCTTTTTTGACACAGGTTTCACCAAATCTGTTTTTATTAATGGAGTTCATTACAGCCAAGCCACTAAGTTTAAATCCCAAACTTTAAACTTTTTAGCCGTGTCTCTGTGGAGGTGCAACGTCAAGGCCAGACTGGCGTTCCACAGAGACACTGGACACTTGGAGAACTTTGTGAAACTGTGGAGATTTAAGAAGGTTTTATGGACCATTTCTGATCAGGGACAACTACAATACAACAAGCTCCTCAAGTAAATGTTTTATTTTGAGCTTGTCCTGATCACCTTTTTTAACACTGTTGTGTTAACTTGTTGTGCAAATAAAGTTTTGTTAAAAATCTTCTTCCTGTTCTTCTTAGCTCCTTTCAGTTAAAGTCAAAAAGTGTCGTTGTGTGTTTCTCTTTGCGTCACAGTAAAACGTCAGTCTAGTGCTCATTTACAAGCTCGTGCTGGTGAAGGGTTACAATTACTGGCTCAAGTGTTTTCATTTTTTACACAATCATTAAGTGCAGTACTTGTCTCATTCTGTTTGAAATGTTTCATCTTTTCAGCAGATAACAGAATATCTGAGTGCAAAAATGTGACTGAGAACTGGATTTAAGAGTTTTGTTGCCATGTCTACATGGTTCTGAATAAATAATATAAAAAAATAGGAAGGATTACCAAAGTATAATTTAAACTGTCTGTACAAATGTTGCTTTAATTCAGATGTTCTGTGGAGCTTAGATTTTTTTTAAATAAACTTGTGTTTTCTCTTAGAAATCTTTATAAATGTTCAGAAGACGAGCATCATTTTATCTCATCTTAAAGCTGCAGAGTGTCAGAAAATTACAGGATGTCACACGAGAGCAGAAGGATCTCCAAAACCAACACAGAAATTTAAATAAAAGATGGATGATCTTCTCCGTACTTTTCTTTAAAAGACAAAAACAGACTCTACTCCTTTCCAACTTTTCACAGAACGTTTTTTAAGACAAAAAAGTTTTAGTCGTGTAAAATCTGATCATTTGTCAGACTTTCAGATTCACGTAGAATTACATGTACTACTGGTGGGACGGGCTGTACGGACAGAAAGCATTGGAGCTTTGTCTCTGCAAAGCAAATAGATGTTTGCTGCTGTATCAAGTAAGAAAAAAAATCATAATTCCAGCCTTAAAATATATCAAATGTTGCTTTTTAGTAAAAAATACAACCGTATGCAGTGTATTTGAATTAGGTTTAGTGAAAACATGGCTAATGGTAAAGCTGTTGGGGAATTTTTGATCAAAGGTTATGGATGCTTTTAACTCCTATGGCTGAGAATGCCAACTCTGCCCATGAACCATATGTTTGGGTTAGCAGAGAGAGCTGGATGAGGAGCTGGACGAGGAGCTGGATGAGGAGCTGGATGAGGAGCTGGATGAGGAGCTGGATGAGGCTGTAGCACGCAGCTGTCACTTCAAGGACGCCTCAGAGACTGTGAGCTCGGCTGAACTGATGAGAGTGTAAAAACAAGCTGCACACACGGCTCATGGCAGATTCTCCTGACTGATCTTCATGTACGTACTTCCTGTATATCTGTGTGTACTTCCTGTATATCTGTGTATACTTCCTGCATATCTGTGTGTACTTCCTGTACATTTGT